AATTACTTTTATCATGACGATAGTTGTACATTTTCAGATAGTATCAACAATCATTCCGATATTTGATGAAATCTAGTTAAAACATTGACTTACTCAATGACAATGAAACTGATTGTTGATTAGAAGACAGTAGAAGAATATTAAACATAAACAGAGTTTAGTAATTTTCTTTCCAAAGATGACTAGTTATATTCCTTAAAAAAAAAACTTTCGCACATGCTTTATTGAGAAACCAGTAGACAATAACTCGATTCTATCATCGTAGTGGAAAAGATTCTGTTGATCTTCTCACATTCAAGTATTATTTCTTGATTTTCTAGAATAATTGCTAGATTAAAATGTTTATAGTTAAATAAAAATGAATAAATCTTATTTTGAAAGTATCGGTTATTTTACCGTTAATTTCGAATGATTTACTTCATTACAATGTTACAAGTTGTCTTCTCCTTCTCAGAAAACAAAAGTGAAATATTGAAGAGTATACGAGAAGCGTAGTTTAAATAGTAGATGAAAATGAATCCAATAGATAATGTAAAATATCGTTGAGAATAAACGAATGAATATAGATCTGTAAGAAAAAAATTTCTTTATTCCAGTTCTAAACATATCCATTTCATATTTTATTTTGACTGTAGAATTATTTAATTATGATGTATACTGTCATAATGAATATTCACTTGCGTACTTTCAATAATCGATGTTTTCATATTTATTATTCAAATATATTGAAATATGTTAAATACTTGAAATGAGCTCCATCATATAAATGTCATTGTGAATATTTTTTTTTCATGTAATGAAAACAATTTAACGTGTCATTCATTGACTTGAACGATATCGGATTATTCAAATAATATTCATTCTTTATTCTGATAGAGGTAAAGATAATCATTGATCACCAATAACCAATAATCTTCAGATCTTTCGAACTTCAGGATCAATTTTTGAAATTTACAAAAAAATGTATAGAAGAAGTTGAAAAAGAATATTTGAGTGGTGATATATTTACACTTTTCCATCTAAAGAAAAAGTAATACTTCGACAAGGTTAGTCAGAAGGTGATTTATATCATATATTTAGTTGTATTGATGCGAATATCTTAGGATTCTGTTGAGGTCAAACATGACATGCTAAGTAAATGTCGAACTTACTATAGAAATGATACTGTTCAATTGGTATATCTTATTAATAAAACTTTGTCTAGACAAGATATTTGAGTTCTATATAGATTTCATTATTTTATTACTAATTTATGGTGTCTTTCGAAAGCAGCTTCAGATTGACATTCTTTGTCGTGGAACAAAACTCAATCGAGAAGAATTCGAACATTTCCAAGCTGATTTTTGTATATCAACTGTTATCGTTGATGTCACTTGTAAAACATCTGTGAATACATTTTTCGAAAATGTTAGCTACCAAAGCGATATACTAGAAAAAAGCGAAATCATTTTTAATTTCGAATCGAATTTCATCACCTCCAAGGTATCAGAACGTGAGTGTGGGTATCAGCGATAGAAACACTAATACTCACACTCACAGCCCACACAATCACACTCTTACGTCCGCAAGGCCAGAAACATTTAACTTCGTATAATTCTCACTTGATAGGAGTGAACAAGCAATATATTCTCTCTGAGAAGACCTATGCTATAATCGGTAGAATATCCATCGCATTAACTGCAATCCGAGCCCTAAAAAGTTTATTAGTGGAAAGAAAAATCAGAAATAAATCTGATTAGCTCAAGACTGAGTCCTCTAAAGATAATTGGTCAAAAGCATGGTATGAGGGAAATCTGATTGAAGAAAACATACATGGGAATTATATTCCTAAGAAATCTCATGTTGAATCTTTGACCTTGACACATACAAATTCCTGTTAGTTTTTTTTCATATGACTCTCCCTAATGAATTACGTGTCAATAGTTTGATCAATTATAATGTCTATTTCATAGAAGTTTTTATTCAATGATATTTAATCAAGTGTTTAGATAAAATAAAGATTCTAAACTTTAACAAATATTTGTGTCTCTATTTTAATAGAATCAGAAAAGAATACAAACAAATGACATGTAAATGAAATAGTCAAACATGTCTAAGCTAACTATAGATCTATCATTACATATGATTATTTAAATGAAGAACGAGCATATCGACGCGTATAAACATGATGTTGAATAAAACCATGCGAGCTAATCATTAGACGTGAGTCACATTTTTCGATATAATTGAAAAGAGAATGCATCTCGATGATCTTCTTAAAACTGCCTATATAATAAGAAGAACGCATATGTCCTTGCATATAAATACGTAAAACCAATATTTTCAGTAATGGACATCGATGACGTAGATAGTGCGCAATTTCGAGAAATTGGATGGTTTCAACATTTTCACGACATTGATCAGCAATTAAATAGAATTGTAGAAGATTTGGAAAGAGTGAGAGAAGAAAATCAAATTGACCATTGTGAAAAAAGAAATTTTTAATACGACCAAGTCGAAGATATTTCATAGATGGAAAATAACGATTTATTAAAATAAATGGAGGGATAATATTATCACATGAGAAATCAAGATATACCAAAGAAGAACACACCAATAAAATTCGTTCTAACTCATGACCGTTTTGTTCTCGTATGGTTAATTGACGAAAATTTAGCTGTTGAATAGTCATCAGTAATGGAAATATGATTGATTTGCATTTACCAAGATGACAGATTCTTAAACAAGGAAATTCACCACGAAATATGAGTTGTGTCAATTTAGGTGAAGTAGCTGGTAAAACTAATGATTGCAATCGAGAATAAATATCAGGTCGAATAATATTTTCGATTTCGACGGAATAACGAGGAAACCATTCATTATTCAATGTCGGATAAATTTCATATAAACGATTGCCACCATTTATCGAATGGGATTGACATTTACAACGCATCATACGCCATCCATAAAACTTGACGAGAATTTTATTAAATGAGTAGAAGAAAGAAAGAATAGAAGGATCTAAATGTTGTCGTATGATAAGAACCAAATTGGGTAATGATTTGAGAATTAAATTAAGGCGATTATTTAATTGTGAGAATGATAAATAGATTTCACTAGCTGTAAAATAAACAAATATTTCCATTAAAATTTCCACAGGTAAATCTTCTAATCGAGAAATTATTGAATAGTCCATCTCTCTCTGCAATTCTTATATCATAACAAAACAAACTGAACAATGAGGTTGTTTTTATAGTGTACGAAAACAATTGTCTTTATTCTATCCGAATTCACCAATCTGATCGAAGTGCTAACAAGACGTTCAATTAAAATGTATGTAAACAAGCAGTTTGCATACATGACATCTATCGTACTCGGAAAGGACTCAATTTAGTTAAATCGCTTTCCTGGTTGCTCTTGTTACAGACAAAAGTGTCATTTTTCAAATTGGTCATGCAACCGATTATGAATAGAAAGCAGAAGCTTATCGACAAAAAACTCGGCCGTATATGGTGGTCCATTTACCAGTGCAGTTGATGAAGTTTATGTGCGTAATCATGAAGTAACACTATCAGACGTTTGCAACTTGTCAAATCCTTAAATTGAATACTGATGAAATTCGCGTTCGATTTTGGCTTCAACTGTTAGTCTCGCATTGATTGAACGAAACTATTTTTATTTCATATGTTCGAATCTCGAACCAACAAATAATGTAGTCCTTCGTTTAAAAAAATATACTCGATGATTGACATAACGTTTTCCTTTTTCTTTCCATTCGTCTGATATAAAACAAATGATTTAATGTTTAACAAGTCATTCGACTATGCTCAAAATGAGGCTGATGAAAATTCTTTCTGGTCAGATAAATATAACACTATGAAAGAAATATGCAGGTTTATAGTATTCATATCAATAGAATAAACTAGATTGCTTCTAGTATGTGTATCTCTATCTTTCTGTCACTCTTCAGTGTTCTGATATGATTCACTCGTGTGTTAGCTCTTGATGGTATAGTCAATAGAGTGAGAGTTATCACAAAATAGGAATGGATAGACAAAAGGATTGTCTAATGGTTTCGAAAAAATGTAGAACACATGGACAATTGATCAGCTTTGGTCGAAAAAAGGGTGTGGGTGTTTCTGGGATGTGTACGAGTCGACGTTGGTAGGTAGAAGAGTGATAGTCATACTCACACAGATTCACACCCACACCCACACCCTGCTATAGTATGATACCATCACACCTTCAAGATTTGTGATCTAAAGTAGGAAGCAAAGACAAACTAAAAATGCAGGAAACATGATATTGACTTATGCGTACCACCCTGTTTTGAGATGAAGTATCATATATTCAGATACTTTAAATAAAAATCACATTATAAAGACTACAATAAAAATACACTTTTCTCTTAAGTAAGAACGAATATTTTATTAACAATAATCCTACCATACAAGATTTTAAAAAAAAAGGGTGTGAATACATGTAGATGTGTATTGAGTGAAGAGAAGGACCATATCCTTCTGTTTCTTTCTCATAAAAACTCTGAAAAACCGTTCAGCAAATCTATAGAACTCGATTAAGTATGACAAGTTTAGAAAAGTTCCTTGTATTTTCCATATCAATCCATGGATTTTGCAGGAGAATAATCTTCTTACATCAGACCAGTCCCAGAACATGAGAATGATATATCGAGCAATCAATACGCAGTTGACAACTGCATTCGGATTACCTAAACTTCGTAACTATATTGACGTCTCTGCATACAGACAAGTATAATGTAGCACATTATACGTCATCCCTAGAATGCATTTCAAAATGTGTTTTTTACCTACGATCGCACTTCCTTCCAAAATCCTAGATCTGCCACTGATTCCAAGAGGGAAAAGAAGAATTCTTTCTTATAAAATTCATAATGATGACAGCATAATTTCTTTATGCCTGTTCACTTCCTTAATGATTTTTCTTTCTCGTTTGCTTTTAGTTTAGTTTGTTTTTTTCTTTTGTATTCAAATAAATCAGCAATGGACGAGAATATCGCTCAGAAACTACGAAATGTTCAAACGGTAATTGATAGATGGAACTATGACAATACCATATGATTGTTTTTTTTAAATAGTTTAGGCGGTTGAAATTTTAAAAATTTGTCAAAATTATCTGTAAGTTCAAAAATATCTTCATTAATAAAGACAGCTATTTATTTATTTTTTTTGCCTTTTGAACCAAATGAGTTAACTAAGCGCTATGGTTTTATCAAATTTGATGAAAATATAGATGATACTACTGCACGTCTTTCACAATATATAGGGTTAAGTCTTAATACAAATGCTACAACAGTTGTTAAATTTATGCAAAAAGGTTGGCTTTTACCAAAACCTGATTTAATTATATCTATAACTGGTGGAGCAAAAAATTTTGATATGTCAACACGTCTTAGAAAGATTTTTCAAAGTGGTTTAGTTTCTGCTGCTATTACGACAAGTAATTACAATTTAATTTCACTATAGATAATCAATAACAAATATTGATTGAATAGATGCATGGTTAATTACAGCTGGAACAAATGCTGGTGTTGTTAAAGAGGTTGGTGAAGCTCTTAATAAATATCGTTATAAAAATCGAAAAAATGATGTTGATGTACCATGTATTGGTATTGGTAATTGGGGTTATACTACAGAAAATGAACAACTTGATTGTCAATCGACAACTTTTTCTATAGATGTGAGTACTACAAAAGAAATACCTCCATCCATGAGACATCATCTTAATAAAATAACACATTCTACTCGTATGGTTAGTAGAACAATTTATTTGAAGAACAAAAAAAAATGGTTTTCTTTTACATAATATTAATTTAGGGTAATGATGATCAATATGCAGTTGGACATTATACTGTTAAAGAAAAGCAAGAGAAACGATGTGATTTAGAACCAAATCATACTCATTTTTTATTATTTGATGATGGACAACCAAATGCTGATACTATTCTACCATTACGAGCAGAAATTGAAAAATATTGTCGAAATAGGAGCATAGATACTGCTACAGACGGAGCAATTGAATCATTGATACCTATTGTTATGGTTTTGGTTGAAGGTGGTCTATCATCGATTCGAACAATTTGTGAGGCACTTGATTCGAATACGCCAGTTGTTGTTATCAAAGTAGAGAAAAATTTGAATCACATAAATAAACTTTGATTGGTTTTTAAAGGAATCAGGTCGTGTTGCTGATCTTATTGCTGAATTACATACTTATTATACGGAAAGCACGAATGGTAATGATAATGTTTATCCTACACGACTACAAACCTGTTCAGCTAAAAGTGGTTCAAAAGAAACAAAGATCAATAAGATGTAAGTTTTACTTTCAAAATAAATTATGAATAATAATTATCTCTATTTGCTCATAAAGTTTGACTAAAGCACAAGCTACTATTACAGGGCTCCATGAAGTTATAGATAATCTATGTCAAGTATTACATGAACGTAAACAATTAGTGACAATTTTTAAATTTGATAGTAATCGACATCATGGAAATCTTGAAGATGCTATTCTAGAATCTTTGTTTAATGGTAAATATTCCTTATTGATAAGAACTTCTTTACAAAAAAGAAAACGCTTATCTTTTTTATAGCTACAAAATTTTCTGATGATCACATTGAACGAAATCGTCGAACAGCAGAACTTAAATTAGCTATAGTAGTTTAAAAAGATAAACAACAAAAATAGATCTTTTGTTTTATATTCATGTATAGGCTTGGCATAAATTTAATTATACTCAAAAATATCTTCTTACTGATACGAAAATATCTAAATGGAAAGTATGTCATTTGTTTGTTTTTTTAGCTAATTATTTCTCTTTGTTTAATAAATAAAAGGAAGATGATCTACATCGTACTCTTGTTGATACACTTCATCGTGGTCATGTTGATTTTGTTGAATTACTCATTGAATTTGGTACATCACTAGAAAAATTGACAAATGGAGATCTTAAACAACTTCATGCAACAACATTGGTATATTAATTTTAACAACAACAACCTAGAAAAAAAAATAATAATTTTTAATCTTTTTTTCTTTTTAGACTAATAATCGATTACCACATAAAGGCAAAGAAAAAATGCTATATGTAGAAGAGGAGACTTTTATTCAGATTATTTTAATTTGATCTTAGTATGAAACATATTGATCTATTAATTATTTTCTTAGAAATATCTTTATAGGATAATACAAATAAGAATAATAATTTTTTATTATTAGATGATAATATGTCATTAGGTAAAGGCGCTCCACAGGAATTATTTTTATGGGCTCTTTTTCTTAATCGATTGAAACTTGCAACATACCTTTGTTCCAAAACTTGGGTAAGTTTTAAAGGATTCAACACGTAAATTTAATATGCAAACTATTGCACTGAATATCAAATACGCTAGTCATATTCAAACCAAATGCTCATTCTAGCGATCAAACTAATGAATTAAACATATGATTGTTAATTTATTAATAACATAGGTTCCACTATTTAATAAAATTTTCTTAATAGAATTCATTAGTAGCATCATTATTTGGTGCATTAATCTATCGACGTGCAGCAAGTTTAGAACTTGACGTTGATATAAAACAATAATATGAAGAAAATGCTGAGTAATTCGAATAATTTTAATTGATTATATTAATTCTTTTTGTCTTTAGACAATTTGATATACATGCTATGTCGATTATTGATCAATGTTTTGATAATAATGAAAATTTTGCTTTTGATCTTCTAAAACAGCCTGCTGTTGCATTTAATGATATTTATCCATTACAACTAGCACGGAAAATTAATTGTAAATCATTTCTTGCATCAAAATGTGTTCAAAAATATCTTGATCATCAATGGTAAGATTCGAATTTTTTTTTGCATTTTAAAGAGAAAATAAAAAAAAATTATAGGTTTGGATGTATTAATTATAAAAGAACGGCTATTAATTTTCGAGTAAATATTAAACAATAAAATAACGTATAAAATATATATTTTTATTTTTCAAGGTGTTTCTTTGTTCATTATTTTTTCCATTATTTCCAATATTTTGTATCTTTTTACCTTACACACAAAAACTTTAAAAAGTTAGTAAAAATTTACAAAAAAAAACTTTTTATGAATATATTAAATAATTTTTCAAGATGATTCAAAATACTCAAAATCAATCAAAAGTTTGTCAATGAACTAAGATGTATCATTTTATCGGGTAAGAAAGTTCCATGGTATGATAAAATAAAATATTTCTATGAAGCACCTATTGTACGATTCTATTATTATATGGTAAAGATAATTGTATTATTTAAATTTATTCGTCTTGTTTTTCGATTAGATATTTTATATTTTATTTCTTGGTTTATTTAGTTTTGTTCTTCTTGTTGATTATTTTCCATTAAATATCTATAATGAATATCAATCTGAGATTCAAATTTTACCAATATCGATAACTGAAATAATTCTTCATATTTGTTTTTGGAGTTTTATTATTGAAGAAATACGCCAAGTGATATAAAAATAGATTTTATTATTGAAATAAATTCTTTTTCTTTTTAGTTTTTATTTGTCGATTCAAAAAGAGAATATATATCAGGAATATGACATATGATTGATAGGATTGGAGCGATATTATATATCTAATAAGTTTTATTACACGATTTATTGTTCTTGAACAACTTTTTGTTGTATCAAAGTAAGTTGCAATATATTTATTTTTTTCGATTCATCTTTGTTTTTTTCAGAATATTCGTATGTCTTGATTTGATACTTTGGTATGTTCGTACATTAGAACTATTTACTGATTTTGAAAAATTAGGACCGAAATTGATTATGATTTTTAATACAGTTCGTATCTAATGATTTGATTAATCTTTTGATTTATATTTTGTATTAATAGTTTATTCTCATATTTTTGTGTACTCAAAAAGTGAGTACACTACTAAAATCGGTCTGTGTGTCCGTCCGTCCGTCCGTATACACGATAACTTTCGAAAGGAGAGTCAGATCGCGATGAAATTTTTTGCACAGTTCAGTCTTAACAATATCTCGGTCGAGTTCGAAGATGAGAAGGATTGGCCGAGCCCTTCCTGAGTTATTGAAAAAATACTCATTTTTCCCTATACCTTCCCTATGGAAAGATCCACCCATTCCCGCTTTCGTAAACAACTTTTCCTATCATAGTCAACTAAAACCCCAACTATTATATACCATTCGATAGAGAATTTCAAGAGCTACAAAATGGTATATAAAACATAAAGAAACAAGAAGGTTGACTCACCTATCACAAAGATAATTAAACAGAACTAGGTTATGTTTTTGTCCACGATCTAATTGATCCACAATTAGAGCTCTATCTTCCGATCACAGTGATGATGCTTCGAGGTTTTCTGGGGTGGAGAACTCGAATCTGTACTCCACTTCCATCGAAATACTATTGGTTAAGCAGTGACCAATAGAAATCAAGTTATAGGAAAAACGACTTTCTTAGGGTAAATCAAGGGAAACAGTTCAAATTTGAGCTGTATTCGGTCCCAAGTCCTATTGGTTTGGCAATACCCAATAGAAATCAACAGTTTAGAGGGTAGGTTCCCCAGTATCATTTTGATGTCCACACATTCTAGCATGACTGATTCGTCTGATTCACTTTTTGAAGTACACATAACTCTCGGATTTAAATCCGAAGTTTCCGCATTTATTTCTTGGATATTCAATATCATCATGGTCATTAATAACTACAGATAATCAAATTTCTTGGAATTATAATAGTAATAGATCAATAACAGGTGATAGAAGTGGTTTATGGACATGGCAATTATTACATGATATTACAAATTTTGGTGTTTGGAAAATTTTCGGACAAGTAGATCCTATTGATAAATATAATTCAAATTAAATATATATAATTATAATAAAGATTCTTTTATTTTCTTTAGATGGTATAAATGCATATTCTATTGTAACTTTTATATTGACTATACTATTTGTTGTTATTTCTAGTGTACTTCTTCTTAATGTACTTGTTGCTTTATTTAAGTGAGACAAAAAAAGAAAAATTCTTAATATAATATGTGAACTTATGTTTATTTTTCTGTTATTTAAGTATTACAATTGAAAATGTTCAAATGCAATCTCATCGAATATGGAGTTATCAACGTTTTCTACTTGTTTATGAATATAATAATAAACCTCCATTACCACCACCATTTAATACTATTTATTATTTGTATAGTATTATTCGTTATATAATTGAAAAAATTCAATATTATCACCAAAAATGTCAACATGGTATTTTATTTAAAAACAACTGTTGAAATAGAATATTGCCAAACATATAGCGTGTAGAAATTTGAATATATGTCTTCCATACACTCTCAGAGAGATTATGTATTTTGATAACGAAATAACTGTTAAACTATATATAATTAATGATTCTTTATTAAACATGAATCAAAATAGCGTTTAAAGTATCAAACCAAAAAAAGTAAATCATCACATTCTACGTGCAGACCATGATAGTAGATACTCTGAAGTCTCGCTATCAACTTTGCAAGATGCTGTTGACCCATGCTTAAAAATAGTAGTAGATCGATAGAGTCTTATTGTAATATATGAACTAATATGCATTTCAAAATACAAGAAGGATAAGTATTTCTGACAAAGTTTTTGAAGTGTATTTATTTCGACTCTAAAACAGAAAATATTCTCTAATATAAACATTTTAGAATTTTAATTTTCAGTAGTGCATCAGACTTGTTAACTGAAGTTCAATAATTTAATCATGAGTTATTCATATTTTACTACAATTTTTCATAAAATCGTAACGTTTTTTTCGACTTTTTGACTAACAAGTCTTCATTCGAAACCTATTAAATAGTCTCAGTTTTTTTTACAAAACTTTAGCGGATAACACAGAAAAACTTTCTAGAAAAATTGACGTAGTATTTTAGATTGGATACAGTTTTATTCTCTTTTTTTTACATGGTGAAAATCACGAAGCTCTATTTAGTTCTTATCAAAAAGTATTTTCAAATATATTTATCCTTCTTTTAATTTGCAATAAATATTAGTTTCTAATTTCACCTCTAAATAAATAAGTAAGAGGATGATGATTTTGAAATACATTATAAAATAAATAAAATAAAACAATTCTCCTTTGAATTACTAATAGCAGCTACATCATGTTTAGGAGAATATCAAGACGAGGGAGATGTTCAAGGTATCGGGATACTCCTTGGCATAAAAAAATGTCTGGAGAGCTGGCAGAAACTCCTCTCTTGAGAAAACTTATGACTACGCCCCTGCTCGGGACTAAGACTTTGGATCTCGGTACATTTCTAATCATGTTTCATATATTAATGGCATAGGGATTGTACTAACATTTCTATTTTTATATAATTTGTTCATCAACACTATGTTATCTTATTTGATTTTATAGTTGCCTGCGAAATTTCCAAGGATTCAATTGATTCAAGTGAAACAGAAGTGCGAGAAGAATTTAAAAGTAAATATATTTCGTATAATAATTGAAATAAATCAAAAAAATGTGAAACTTTTCTTTTTTCTACGAATAATAGTTAGTAATGCAATGCAACATGAAAGTGCTATAGCTGATGATTATTGGAGTTATATTTTAAAACATGGAAAGAAAGATCCAGTTGAAGCTGCAATAGAAAATATTGAACGAAAGTAAGACTCATAGTTCTTCTTTTTTTTATTTTATAAGAATGGAAAGTTTCTTTTTTTGTCTCAAGACTGCATGATTTGCAAGAACAGATGCATGATATGATGAATCATGGACTAGTAAGATCGATTATATAAATATATACATTATTCTAGTTATATATGCTATTTGATAGAATTAAGATCAAGAATGGCTTTTATCTGATGCTTAATATTGAAGACAATAATTTCTTCTTTTTCTTTGTAAACAATTTTTGTATACTAATTGTTGAAACTTACGATTGAAAATACAACATAATTGATTTCACGTATGATGCAAAGTTTTCTGAAGTAATCTATCTTTCCTTTTCATCGACTACAACATACATCAGAGAACTTAGAAACAACTCTTTAGAATCTGCATGAAAAGAGCTTTCTATATGTTTATTCAAAAACAAAAAATATGCATTGCTTTAGCACAATGTTGATGGATGAATTACGCTCGTATTGTACCATTGAGTCGTCAACAGTAAAACGCTCATATCTCAGTTTCTACTCAACGGATTTTGATAACTGTTTTTTTTTAAACTTCTTACTAACCAGGTCATCTACCAAACATATGATTTCCAAAATATGTTAAATCGGTCAATGATACTACATTTCGATATTACTAAAAAATTGTTGCAATGAAACATATTTTTCGAAACAGAAGCAAAAAACAATAGGTGAGTTTTCAACTATCCACCAATTGGATGATCTGACTCGTCTTTCCGATCATTCATGTTCGATTATTACGACTTAACATAACTTTTTAGTGAGATTTGAATAGCTCCTTAGGGACTGATTTGAATAAGAGAACGTATCTATGGTAAAACTTGCCTTGAATACATAATCAACTAATATAACAAACATGATGAGAACATTATCAGAAATGATTGACTCTTTCGTCTAGTTTACGATAGAAACAGAACAAGTTTCGATAGTTTTCGGATAAATTTTAGACAAGTTAAGATCTTCATTAGAATCACAGAGTAAATAAAAACAAACGACAAAAAGATAGCCGATTGCAATAGATAATACGAAAATATTCAAATACATACGCTATATAAGTTTTTTTCTATAATCTTAGAACTTAATTCTAAAAGACAAAACATCGGATGGGCTTCAGTTATATTGCCAAGAAGTCTAGAGAACAAAGTTATTTAGTCTACAGTTGTTTAGTTTGTCATATTCTAAGGCGCGAGAACATTGTCGTAACTAACATAGCGAAAGTTTTCGGATCTCTAACTGAGTTTAGTTTTTTAAAATAATATCGTTCCAAAAGCGAGTCATTATGGATGAAAGAATTGATTGAATGTCCCTTAAAAATTATTTTCAAGTTGATATTCTCTAGAAATACCTATTAAAAGAATAGATTTTTTAAATGAAAGTGTAAAGAGAACAAAACTACACCTACATGATTTTATCGGATAAAACACAGAGTATCATGAAGTGAACAATCAAAAATATTCAAAAGTAAGGGTGTGAATACACTAAACTTTGCAGTATTTTTCGAGTTTTATTGTATTAAGTAATCAAGATGAATTATATGTTTAAAATTGTATTCGATTTACTCTTTGTTTTCATTTATGTTTGTCTTCACCAATGACGAGCAAAAAGTAAAAGTGAGAAATTATGATAAAATTCAGATCAGTTGTGGAAAGCATCAAAAGATTGAGTGGTGTGCAATTCGTTCATAAAACTAAATATGTTTTATGTCATTTTCGAAACTGGAATCTGCGAAACTCATTTTATTCGAGTGAGAATGCAGATAGACGCGCTGTATTTCTTGTAAATGCAGAACAACATATTTTACAATACTTTAATTTGATTATTGAGTAAATATTTAAAAAAAAAAGAAAAGTAGCAGATGAAATTTATTTAGAAAGAAAGAAAATCAGTCTCATATCTTCTATGAATGTATTAAATGAACAGAGAGTATATTCAAGAAAATAATAACAGTGATTGATAGAAGGTTCTTATTATGTTTTCTTTTTATTTTATCTGTTTATTGCTACGCTTCGAAGTGCTTACACAATTAGACTAGAAATGCTGCATTTTTAATCAAATTAGAGAAAAACAATCACAAAAAGAAAACAGATATAGAGATGCAAGTGGACCCATTCAGTCAACAAAATCATTCTCCATATATGCGGTAAGAACAAAAGAGAATGTTCTTAATATTACTGTTGATAATGAAGGTCCCAAGTTTGGCTAGTAACGATTTCAAGAATGGATTGAAGTCAACTCAACACATCCAGATGTTGACATAGGTCATTATGAAACGTTTGTCTTCTATTGATATTTTTATAATACAATCGACATTTCACTCTAAATTGTTTCTAATATCCATCAAGTACTCAAAGCCAGTCTATTGATATAAATTGTGTATCAAAATGTTTTTTGGATAATAATAACTCTCAATACAATAGTAAAACAATTAGTTATTTGAAGAATAAACATGCTCGACAAGAAATTTTAATGAACTAGTATATTTGAAAACCTATGAACCTCCATCGAAGCTTTCTCAAGGATTTTGTTATTATTTATAGGCACTTCAAGATTTCTGAAAATACCTATATCAATATTTTGAGTATTGTAGAGTTTGTGGGTGTGAGTGACGTAACAATACATGATGTCCAAAGACACCTCCACAAGTCTATCTGTTACAGTTTTTAGTACAGTAAATAGCAGATTTATGCTTATAGAAACATCAAAACGAAGAGTAATTTGAGTATTAGAAAAAAATTTATGGAAATGAATAGTGGAACAACAACACAGTCAAATATTACTGGCTCTTTTCTATGTCTTTAGAAGAAATATTTTAAAAGTTTTCAGAACTTCAACGTCTGTTTGTAACTATTGCATCGCTATTTCATTGTATATTACTAATAGAAAATAAATTGCAGATTTTTGATGATTTTATACGAAACTGAACTATACTGAAGAATCACTCAAAAGTTGAATGTAAAAAACATACTTGTCTGTATTCTATATAGAAACATATAATGCAAAGTATTAGTTGAATATGATTGTTATTACCGGAAACTAAATATTTTTAAAAGTTCAAACTGGTTTAATTGACATTAAATAGTCGAATGTTCTTTCCAATAGGTTTTCTCTCGTCGCGCTGATCAAAACTCGACGAATACATAATTTGGTATGAATGTACTTAAACTAAACGAAGAGAACAACAAATGAATCTATCTCTAAACAAAAACACAAGTTCTATATAAAAAACTCGAAGCTTGATTTTCAGTATTTCGACCAAGTTCAAAACAAAAGAGTTAATAATGATAAACCAATGTGTTTAGATTAAAATCCTTAGCATAACAGTTCATGGGCAAGAGCACCAAAACAAAAAAGAAAACAAGTAAAAAAACAAAGTAGAGTAACGAAGACAAAATTAGAATAATGGAAATGAGAACTAATGCAGCAACATCTAAAAACTTCTGTAAAGAACTGATCATGAAATACCTGGATTCACGTTGTATTCGTTGATAATGCCTTATTCATACTTAAATGTTACTGATAGATGAAGTTACATTTGAATCTCAGTTTCGAACAAAAAAAAAGGCAAATTGACTTGAATACACAGACGAACAGAACATTCATTGATAGTTCAGTGTATATAGATTCAATAAAAAATTTCTTCTTCAATTCAACTTTTCCAGAGCACCATCTACTTCCGATCACACATTACTAAAGTACTTAAATAAATTATTCATGCTGGACCTCGCATAAATCCTTACAATATGAATCACTTCAAAGTAAAACATGAACAGTTCACTTAAATAACTACCATCAACAATGAAAACTAGTCCGAAAGTATTCTAACAATGATATTTACAACTATCACAAATTGTACACAAACGAGGACATGATTTACCTGATGCATTACGACAGAACACGGTGACCCTTATTGTCTCTTCATCTCTCTCATTTTACCGTCTGCACTTTTTCACATAGACACCCACTACACTACATTTCTACAACAATCAAATCGACGAAAAACTCCGAGCTCGTTTCGACGAATTGATAAAACAAAACAATCAAGGAAGAAAACAGTGAACATTGTTTTCAAAGATAACTTAATTGAGAACTAAAATCGTGAATTGCCTGCATGAATTTCTCCCCTTTTTTTCATACAGGAGCGTATTGTTTGGAACGTATTGCATTTCAAGATATGAAATGACCAAATATTGTGCTTTTTAATGTGAACGAATTAGTAGATTTATCAAAATATTTGAGGAATTCAATTATAGTGAACTTAGATATCAGTAAGAACTCATCGAATCGAACTGAAGGATTGCATAAAATTTATTGTGAATAGTTGCAAGTTAGTCTATTTATTGAATGGAATTTAGATTTGTTGCCGAGTTTTAAATTAAAGAAATAGTTATGATATACAGAGATTCCGTCGTTGATAGTACAACTATTGGTATGTAGAGAAAACAAACACAGAATGCACACAACCTCTATAGATCACTAGTCGACGATCTTGCCTCGTTCTTTCCAGATTCTTGTTTTTCTTGACTTTCAGACAAGATTCCTGTATTCAGGCAAGATTCCTTTCCACAGGAAAGTAAAAAGAATCTTCCCTGGAGCTCAAGATGACCAGAATCTTGCTTGATTGATCAGAAATAAAAGAATTAGGCAAGAATCATAAGATAGTCAAGATATATTTCAAGTTCAGACAAGA